TTATAGAAAATTGGAGTAGTTTTGAAGGCAAGGCTGGCCTTTTAGGGTGGGACGGTGTCCATCCCACTCAGGAAGATGCTGCTCTCATTTCTTGCAGCATAGCCCATAGTCTCAGAACAGGCCTAGTTAGTCTGTGACAATCCAGAGCCAAGGCCAGGGAACAGACGAGCAGGCTATCCCGAAGAACTTGACCAGGCAACTGAATGCTTAGAATCACTGTTCTGCTACACTCTAGATAAGGTAGCGCCACTTAAAGGAAAAATAATTAGAGAAAAAAGCTAGCACCCTGGTATAGCGATCACACACGAACCTTAAAACAGACCTCTTAAAAACTAGAACATAAATGGCATCAAACTAAATTGGCAGTATTTCAAATAGCATGGAAGGAGAGCCTTTTGAGCTATAGAAAAGCTCTTAGTGCTGCTAGATCAATGTATCTCTCCAACCTAATTGAAGATAACAAAAATAATCCTAGATTCTTATTTAATACTGTAGCAAAATCAAGTAGGAATAAGACCACAATAGAAACATGCACACAATCATTATATAGCAGTGATGACTTCATGTATTTTTTTCAGTGGTAAAATTGAAAATATCAGGCAAAAAATTCAGACTATTAATTTAAAACTGGACAGTTTTAAAAGTAACCATGTAGATAATAATATAATAATGTCAGATCAACAATTACAATGTTTTACTCCCCTCCGGGGAGTAATTTCACTAATTTCATTATCAAAATCATCAGTCTGTATACTAGATCCTTTACCTACATGTTTCTTTAAACAGATAATTCCAGAAATGGTCTTGCGCCACAGTACCTGAGCGAACTTTTGGTCTTTTATGATCCGCCACACCTACTTCGATCAAAAGGTGCAGGCTATTTGTTGGCATCTCGAATATTGAGGGCTACAGCTGGGGATAGAGCTTTCTCTTTCAAAGCCCCACAGCTATGGAACAGCCTTCCAACTAGGGTTCGGGGCTCAGTGTCTCAGTGTTTAAGTCTAGGCTGAAAACATATTTGTTTAGTCAATCCTTTTTGTGAAGGAGCAGGTCTGGAGGGTTCACAGGCATAGATTGTTGTGGTGAACTGGGATGTTTGGATGCTGTCGCCCCCCCCACTCTCACACGTTCACTCAGGTTTGTCAATGGTGGAGTGGCTGGGCAGGGCATCCTCATGTCTGTGTTACCTTTTGGCTATCCCTTTTAGTTATGCTGTCCCTGCTTGCACTCTGCACGGAAAGTACATTGTCCCTAACCGTTAGAGGACAAAAGCTTACCTGACAATCTCTCCTTCCCTCTCCCTCTCTCACCCTCTCTCTGTCAAGCTACACATGCTACTCCTGAGATGCCAGTGATCCTGACCCCTTCTGCTCTTCGGACCTGCCTGACCCATCCTGATGCCCTACTTCTGGTAGGAGTTGTCATCGCTTGAGGTCACTCCCTGCTTCTGGGGTGCTGTGGAGATGGCTTGGGGATCTCATATGGAGAGTTGTATTGTGATGGCTTGGGACTGTGATTGCTGTGGTGGCTTTGGGGCTGCAGTTGCCACGAGCAGCTTCAGGACTCCATAAGTGGACAGATAGATTTTAACCAACCGGACTTCTTGCGAAAACTGTGATGAATTTACTGGTTACACATTTGCACTCTTTGTCCATATAGCACACAATAATAGAAGGGATTTATTTAGAATTGCACTATCCGTTATCACCAGGTGAGGATGGGTTCCCTTTTGAGTCTGGTTCCTCTCAAGGTTTCTTCCCAGGGAGTTTTTCCTTCCTACCGTCACCTCTGGTTTGCTCTTTAGGGATAAATTCACATATTTACAATATATTTTGAATCCATTTATTTCTGTAAAGCTGCTTTGTGACAATGTCCATTGTTACACTATACAAATAAAACTGAATTGAATTGAAAGTGCTGTAAACCTATTGTTTTTGTTTGGGTTTTTAGTTTTCTTCTTCCTCTTCTTCTTCTTAATTTTAGGGGTCCAAGCGGAAAGTGCTGGAACCCAATTGTTTTGTTAGGATTTTTATTTTTTTTATTATTAATTTTCTTTTTCTCCATGTATTATCTGAACCACTACTCAAAAATGAAATGACCAAATTGCACTTCTTGATGGTGCTATAGCACAAGCTTTTTTTTTTTTTGGCCCTTATTTTGAGAATCATAATGCATGCATTTAAAATTCTTTTTTTCCTCTTATTTTTTGGCTTTAGACAACTTTATCTAGGCCCTGCCCACTAATTTCCACCATGATGGATTTTTTTGCTAATTTACATAATATGCAAAACATACTTTTGACAATTCGTCCTAGGATTTTTAGTCTAGCTTCACAAAATTCAAGGGAATCTGCTTTTCAAAAGTTTTTCAAATTTTGTTGAAATTCTAAGAATATGGCCACCACTTGTCAATCAATTAATGCCGAGACAGAGCCTAATTTACTAAAACAGCTGTAACTCATGACTGTTTGTGGTCATTTGCATGAAACTTTAAAGCCTATCATTAAGAAAGTCTGTTGTAATTGAAATGTGTAAAAATATGGCCACCACATGCCAATCAATTTATGCGTGGTGAGCCTAATTTACTAAAATAGCTGTAACTCATGATAGGATAAATGGTTTTGCAAAACCGTTTAATAACCATTTCTCAGGATCAGTAAGTCCAATTTGCAAATTTAAAGAAGCATACCTTTTGTAAATTAGGATGTGCTATGAAATCTCATTCAAGTCCTGATTTGGTGTCTTATGCTAAAAATGTGCATTCATAGAATTTAGCCCTGACACCTCACATTTAAGATAATTTGCATAATATCCTAAAGCTACTTTTGATAAATAATCTAAGGATTCTAAGCCTACTGTCACAAATTTGGTGTCAAAATTCTCATGGGAGACTAAAATGCAGTATTCTTTCAAAATATATTGAAATTTCTAAGCAATATAGCTGCCACATGCCAATCAGTAGAGTAGAGGTGAGCTTCATTTACACACACAGCTATAATTCAAGACTGCTCTGATGGATTTGAACAATAATTGAGGATATCTACCAAGACTGGGGCATGGTCGACCATGGGGGCAGAGTTAAGTTTAAATAATTGTTTATCAGGATCAGTATATCTGATTAGCACATAAGAACAAGCAGATTTCTTGTAACATAAGGTGTGCTTTGAAAATTCTTATTTAATCTGATACACAGATCCTAGCCATAAAAACACCCTTTGGAATTATTTAGCCACACCCCCTCTCAAATTTACAATAATTTGCATAATATACAAAACTTATTTTTGTGAACTAATCATAGGATTTATGGCCTATTTTAAAAAAAGATGGTGGTAAAATGCACAGTGGAGGCTATGTTTCAAGAATTTTGTAATAAATAATATATTCAATTATTATATTAGACCACAAGATGGCAACATGAATCTACTATACTACCTTCCTAAACATGCATCAGAACACATTCTTAGTTCTACTACAGTACATTTAAAGCCATAATATTTAAATGAATATTGTCAAGATTTACCTGTAAAAACACAGCTGAGAAATGCCAATGAAATCCATTTGCAGTCTTGTTTTACATAATGGTTTCATTTGGCCCATGTGAACCTGGAAAAAAAAATAATACGAAAATGAACTATTGCTCAACATTTTCACACCATCCAGGATTCACAGCAGATCTGTAGCATAGCCATCTGAAGGGCAGTTACTGTAAACCACTATACACTGCCCTCCAAAAGTTTGGAAACGCCTGAACAAAATAGGGTTTTTGGGCAATATCAGCATAAATCCTCTTTAGTTAGTGACCATTTTGCATTGATAATAAGGGACAACACTAGGCATCCGAGCAGTCAGTTTATTCAAACATTGACTTGATATATTACTCCAAGCCTCCTGGAGGATTGCCCAAAGATGA